CCTCTTGTGTATGACCAAGGTGGCATCATGTCCAGTCAGCCTGTCAAAAAGCTCCTTGAGTTCTCGTGAGTCTTCACACAGGGCTTAGAGCTAATTATTTTGCACATGTGTCCCAGGAGCCTGTCCTGTCTTCCTTTCCTAGCTAGTTTTAGCCACTTCCTATGTGGCTGCCTTAGGCTTTGTATCCTCTGCTTGAAACAAACCTCACTGACCTTTTAGGCCTATGCCTGTGGCCCCTGTGTACTCTGTTCACCTCACATGTCATGCTCAGGGCCCCCAGGCCTGTGGAGAGCTAGAAGAATGTGGGGGTCCTGCAAGGCAGGGCCCAGCAGGGGAGCCTCACAGCCGGCTGTTAGTGACTGTAGCGGCTGTTAGTGACTGTGGCGTTCTGTGCCCTGACTTGTGAAGGGGTGGATAGGAGGGAGTGAAGTCAGGCGCAGAAGCAGGACCAGGGACTGATGGAAGCCTGGCCTTCTGTGAAGTAAGAACTAAAGATGTTGAGTGTTTGGGAGGCTGACTCAGGAGGATCGCTGTAAAGCCAGCCTGAACTCCATCCTGAAACCCTGTCTCAAAAAGACAGAAAAAAAAGAGTAAGTGTCTTCATGCTCTAGAGAAAGGAGCCCAGAGGAGGAAGGGGTGAAGGATGTTAGCCACTGGGCCAGAGACAAAGCAAACCACTACTGCAGTCAGGAGCTGGGTAGCTGTGGAGATTGTAAATGCACTGCGGTCCTCCCGCTTTGCTTAGTTGTGTGGTTTCCTGCTCCATCAATCCCTCTTCTCGTCTGCTCTCTCCAGCTCCGGGGCATGCTTGCTGCCCCCCCCCCCCCCCCCCCCCGCAATCCTGTGTCTTTTTTGTTGTTTTCTTTCTGGGCTTCTGAACACTGTCAAGGGTCCTAAGGTCACATTGCTTTCCAGATCACTATTTTTCTCTCTATCCCAACTCTTGCCCTTTTCCTATATGCTTAAACTGATGTACTTCTGTGACATTTGTATCGTGGACTCGGACCACCAAAGTTCGTTAATGTGTGTGCTGCCATTGAGATTTGAGAGCGCCGTGTCTGACCCACCAGACCCATTATGTAGTACGTAATATCTCTCTGCAAATTGAACCACTTAGAACTAAAATGTATTTAAAAGGGAAATGGCATATCTGTACCATAAATGGAGGCCATACTACTTAATCTAAGTGGGAAATCATGGTAAGAGAAAAAGCATGAAAAGAAAAAGATTTCAGTTATGATGCCTAGAAAAAGTTGGGAGTCAGACTGAGGGTGTAATTTAGGATTAGAGCTCTTGCCCAGCCTGCACAGGCCCTGGGTTCAATTCCCAGTACTGGAAAAACAAACAAACAAATGCATGCAATGAGTCTAAGACCTTTTTTGTTTTTTTTTTCCCATTAGTAGGTATTGAAGCCAGGCCCTTGCACTGCGCTACATCCCCAACCCTTTTTATGTTTTTAATTTCAAGACAGAGTCTCACTAAGTTGCCCTGGCTGGCCTTGAACTTGGTGAACCTCTTGCTCAGCCTTCTGAATAGCTCTGATTACAGCTCAGCACCGCTGACCACTACCACCACGCCTGGCTTGTTTTCTTTTTGATAGACATGTGTTCAGGAGGGGGAACCCTTAATTAAGTGAATGCCATTAAATTGGGACCTATCCTTTCCTGCTCAAAAGGGAAAGGTTAGAGAAGAATGAACTTGCCAGTTCTCTCTGTTGTTTCTGCAATAACACACACCTAGCGAGTGGCTCAGACATTTATGTGCAAGGATTCTTCCTGTTTCTTTTTGTGGTGCTAGGGGTAGAACCTGGAGACTAGGTACATGCTGAGCAAACACTCTGCCACTGAGCCATAGATTTTTAGCTTATTGGCCTACTGTGTGTGATTTTTATCAAGTTCTTCACGATCTTTCTGTTAACATGTGGTAGTGGCTGCTTCACAGGCCTTTACACTTCAGATTGTCCCCTTTGAACCTACTTTGCTGGCTCCTGAGGACTCTGTTTTCAGATGTACTTTCTCATCCTGTCCCTTAATACCTTGGGAAAGTTTAATTACTCCTTGTTGCCTGTTGTTTTGTTCTGTTTTGTTTTGTTGAGCTAGGGTCTTTCTACATAGCCCAGGCTGGCCTTGAACTCACAACAATCCTCCTGCCTCAGCCTCCTGAGTGCTGGGATGACAGGTTTTCACTGGAGTTTTATGGGCTTCCTGTCTGTATAGCAATGTGTTACACAGTGAGATAGCACATAAAAAGAAGAAATGTATACCATAGTCCCAGAGTTAAACAACATTTATCAGACTGGGTGTGCAGTTCCATGCAAGAGCACTTTGCTAGCATATTTGAGCCCCTGGATTTCCATTCCCAGCACTACAAAGAGAACCCTAGGAAGCAAATTTTTTAAAATAAGGTACTATGTTGTCTTTTTGTGTTTTCAAGAATGATCTCCTGGGGCAGGGGAGTTTAGCTCAGTGGTGTAAGCACCTGCTTGGCAAACTCGAGGTCCTGAGTTCAATCTCCGGTACAAAAAAAAAAAAAAAAAAAAAAAAAAGAATGATCTTCAGGCCTGGGGATATAGTTCAGTGGTAGAGTGGTTTGCTTTTTTTTTTTTTTTAATTGGTACCTGGGATCGAACTCACAACCATGTGCTTGCAAGACAGGTGCCTATGCTGGTGAGCTAAATTCCCAGCCTGGAAATATTAATTTTCAATAAATTGAGCTATGAATTTTTAAAATCAGTACCAGGGATCAAACTCACCACCTTGTGCTTGCAAGGCAGGTACTTAGGCTGCTGAGCTAAATCCCCAGCCCTGGTAGAGTGCTTGTTTGGTATACTCAGGGCCCTGGGTTCCAAAAAGAGTCACCTAAACTGAGAGCAGTGGCATGCACTTAAAGTTCCAGCTGTTAGGGAGGAAAGGCTGGAGGATTACTGGAGCCCCGGAGTTTGGGGCAATCCTGAGCAACATAGTTAGATCCTGTTTCTTTAAAAAAAATTCTGTTATCTAGTTGGAGAGATAAAATGGACATGGATGTGTGTCCATTGTGGTATATGCATGTGACAGAGAGCTAGTGGGTAAGCAGGAGCCTCGTGATCCTGCCCATCCTTGGGCATGGTATTTATTAAGCTCATTTGAGGTTTATGAATCTTACACCAGCTGTTTGTTCCTCTAATTGGGGTAAAATCTACATAACATAAAATTACTTTTTCTTTCATTTTTTTGAGACAGGGTTTCACTATGTAGTTCAGGCTGGCCTTGAACTTACTTTGTAGCCCAGACTGACCTGGAACTTGTAGCATTTCTCCTGCCTCAGCTTCCCGAGTACTGGGATTACAGGTGTGCACCACCATGCCAGGCCCTTAAAATTACTATTTAAACCACTTGAAGTATGTAATTCAGTTGCATTTAGTACATTCACACTGCTGTACAGCTGCCATGACTGAAGAAAAAGTTTCTCACTGCAAAGGAAACCCCATGTCTGTTAGCATCTCTTTATTACCTCTTCTTAGCCCCTGACAATCACTAATCTTTCTGTTTCTGTGAGTTTCCTTCTTTGGATGCTTAATAGAACTGGAATCTCAGAATATGTGACCTTTTACATCTGGCTTTTTTCATTTAACATAATGTTTTCAAGGTTCATTCATGTTACAGCATGCATTGATACTTCATTCTTTTTGACACATTCTTTTTGATGGCAGAATAATATTCTTTTGCATGGCTAGACCAAATTTTTTCTTTTATTTTGAGACAGGGTCTTACTATGTAGTTAAGGACTACATATATAGCCCTGGCTGGTCTTGAACTTAAAGCACTCCTCCTGCCTTAGCCTTCTGAGTGTTGGTCTTACGGGGGTTTGCCACCAAACCTACCTATGTATAGTTATTTTGTATACTTGTTATTGTATCCTGTACTAGGAATATTATATAATCTTGAATTTGCTCATTATTCCCATACATTATCCATAAATAATGTTTTTGAATATTTCATTCTTTATGTAGAATTGCCACATTTTCTGTGCTTTTCTACCTACTTTTTACTTGCCATATTTTGAGATTTGTCTATATTGACACATGTAATTTTTGACCCCTCTTTTAATACTATTTGTATAAGGAGTGCACACTCAAGGTATTTTTCCTGCAGTTGGCAGGCATTTTGATTATTTACTGTTCATCTCTCTTTTTTTTTTTTGGCACCGGGGATAGGGCTCACGTCCTTATACTTGCCAGGCAGGCGCTTATGCTGCTGAGCTAAATCCGCTGCTTGTTCGTCACTCTTGCAAACACTGCAGGAGCAGATAATTTCATACCCAGTCCTCATGCTGAGGGGCAAGAGACTTAGGAGTCAGCTTGCCATGCCATGGGACATAACATTCCTGTCACTTTTCTCTGTCTCAAGTGGCAGCCCTACTTGCCTTTTCCCCGCAGTACATGAGAGGTGATCTTGGCCCACATGCTCTACAGTGCTTGGTGACTTTATCTATGCTTTCTCCTCTCTGGTGTTTGATTAGAGGATGTCAGCTCCGAGGAGTTCCTGTTACATTTCTTTGCTTTTTTCTTTTTTTTTTTTTTTTTTTGTAATTGAAACTGGGGATGGAACTCGTGACCTTGCACTTGCCAAGCAGGCGCTTATACTGCTGAGCTAAATCCCAGGCTGTTACATTTATTTTAATGAAGACAAAAATTTTTTTTCTGTTTCAGTGAAAGTAATATTCAAATTTCAGTGGAAAAGTTACATTTTTGCTATGGACTAGAGGAATGTTTTTTTCTTCTGGTCGTGTGCTTGGCACAGACACAGGAAGGCCCAGTTAATAAGCTGATGTTCTCAATGTTCACTTGATGTTGAAATGAATTTAAAGTGGGACATAATCTTACGGATAACTACCAGTCATTATGATTTGGTACTGCATATGCATTTTGTGGTAGAAGAAGGAAATTCTGGGAACATGTGTTTACATTTGAGACAGCTACGAGTCAGAAAGAGTAACTGGCCATTTTGTGTTGTTCACAGGCGGGAAAGGAGAAGTTCCATAAATCCCAACATTGGGGCTTTTGCAACAATGTTAGAATGCTGGTGAGTGAAGAGAAGCCTGGAATAGGTGGAGAACCTCTTCTTGGGCAACAAGTGAAGAGTAAATACAGCACATATCCGAAAGGAGAAGGAAATGATGGACCCTCTTGGGTGGTGTTTGATAGACAGGTAAGTCATATGCATTGCAATTTTAAAGTTTGACATGGAGATTTGAGAAAATTAGAGTCTTCAATGTAAATGTTAAAGCTAGTTTTTCATTTTCTTTTTGGCTTTTATACTTACTATCATAGTGTTTGTTCCCTTTTTTATTTTATTATTTATTTATGTATTTTTGAGATACGCTCTCGTTATATAGTTCATACTGCTCCTGAACTCACTATGGGCCCCAGGCTGGCCTCAAACTCCAGGTGATCCTCCTGCCTCAGCCTCCTGAGTGCTGGCATTACAGTCATATGCCACCATAGCCCAGCCAGCACGTTGCTTTTAAATATATCTTCATTATGGGATGGCAAAATCAAGCTCACTAGCATATGGATTACCTTGCATACTTACTGAGATGAGAACAATTAAAATCTGCTCTCAGCAATTTTGACTTTAAAAAGTATTGCTATTAGCGCAAGTCACCATGCTGTACAATAAAGCTCTTGAACTAATTCCTCCTAACTGAAGTTTTATATGCTTTGACCTAGACTGCTTCTTGGCTTGCCTTAGGGCCTCTTCATTGATTGGAAGGTGCCAAATAGCCATCTTTCCAGGTTAATGCTTAATAGCCTGTCTTTCATTTCCTTCTCCAGACAGGGTATGGTATTACACGCCTGTAATCTGTCCTTCCTTAGACACTGTGAATCTGAGCAGGTGGTCACTTACGCTTAGTGAGTTGCTATTAACTTAAGTAATTGTGTTAGGTTGTGAATGTGGTGGTAAGTAAAAACAGAAAACATCAGGGATATAGCTCAGTGGTATAGCACTTGCCTACCATGTGCCAAGTCCTGGATTCATTCTCCAGCAGCACAAAATAAAACCCTCAAAACAGTTTTGGAGTGCTGGTTTAGTGGTCATAAATATCCTCAAATGTTCTTTCTCATGGAAGTATCTTATTTCTCCACCAATTTTGAAAGATAGTTTTGTGGGGTATATAAATTTGGGTTGAAAGTTGTTTTTCCTTTAGACCTTAGAGCATTTCACTCCAAGCTCTCTCTTTGACTTGAGAGTTTGTGCTGAGAAGTCAGCTGTGATTCTGATTGGCCTTCCTTTATTGGTAATTTGTTTCTTTTCCCTAACAGCTTTTAAGATTCTATTCTTGTGTTGAATTTTTGGAATTTGACTATGATATACCTTGTGGTAGGTTTTTTTTTTTTTTTTGATCGCTGCTAAGTGGAGTAGTATATGCCTCGTTAATCTGTATTTCAAATTCCTTTCTCTAGTAGGAAAGTTTTCTGCCATGATGTCTGAACATTTTTAAATGTTATTTGTGGTATTGCCTGCTTTTTCATTGACTCAAATCAATCTTAAGTTATTCCTCTTTGTCTATTCTAGCAGCTGCTGGATTGATTTCTCATGGTCTCTTGTTGTTTTTGAGAAATTTTTCTTTTCCTGGTCGCTAACTGCAAGACTGTCTTCAGTATCTCAGATCCTATCTTCACATTGGCCTAATCTGCTTCAAATACTTTCAGTGGGGTTTTTATTCTCCTGGATGTCTGCTTAAAATCCTTGAAAGAAAAATGAAAACCCAGAAAGATTGGTTCACTTCTCCATACTTAATGTTTTTTCATCCTTGAGGAATAAAGGGTGGAAAGGCAAGAACTGTAGAAGAGAGCTGGCTATGGTATTACATACCTATAATGCCATCTCCTTGGGAGGCTGAGGCACAAGGATTGCCTTGAGTTCACGGTCAGACTGAACCACCTAGTGAGACCCTGCCTCAACAGAAAAAACGAAAACAACACAATAAAAGGAATTCTAGAAATGAAAGGAAGAGGTGCCATTATTAAATAGGATTCTGATTTGGTTTGAGTCAGGGTTTTGCTGTGTAGTCTAACATGGCCTTGAACTCTGCTTATTTTTTTTTTTTATTTTTTGAGGCAGAGTCTCACTGTGCAGTGAGGGCTGGCCTTGAACTCCCTTATGTAGGTCAGGCTGGCCTGGTACGCACAGCAATCCTCCTGCCTCACCCTCCTGAGTGCTAGGGTTACAGGCATGTACCACTATGCCTGGCCTAAGTCTGAATATTTTTCATGTGTATGTCTACAAATAAAACACACACACATATGCTGACATGTCCACGGATGAATAAGGGAATGCATTTTAATCTTTATTTTCAGTACTAGTGACAAAACCCAGGGCCTTGAGGATATAGACAAGAGCTCCACTGCTTAGATATACCCACAAGTCTCGAATATCTTAAAAAGAAACCTACATTGACCAGTTGTTTCCCATAAGGTTGCCATATGGAAATGCGAGGTTAGCCTTGTTTATAGCCCCATATTCTATTTCTCTAGTTTGTGAACATCTTTGTTTTTAAAATTGGTACTGGGGATTGAATGCACTACTGCGTACTTGCAGGGCAGATGCTTATGCTGCTGAGCTAAATCCCCAGACCCCCATGTTCTGTTATACAAAAAGAAGATTATTGTATTATCCAAAATTAAATTATTTTAGATTTTGTAATTAAAAAAGAACTCGGGACCAGATATAGACTTCAAATCAGTATTCTAAGCTTATCTGTTTTTTTTATCTTAAATATCCTTTAACATTGATTGGTTGGCAATACTTTGATTCTAATCAAACTATCCTCAAATATGGTAGAAGTGACACACCCCCATATCATTGTGAGAGGTACATCAATTACAGCACACACTGTCTTTGAAGCCAGGTTCTCATACTTACAATATAGAGATCTGACATACCATAGTAAGCCATAGAGATCTAGCAAGACCATAGGCTTGTTTCCTGCAAAACCATCTCTACTTTCCATGTGGGCCAGTATTTCTCTCTCTCTCTCTTTTTTTTTATTTTTTATTATTTTCAATATCTAGCTCAGTGCTGGAGCTAGAACCCAAAAATAGTTTCTGGGTTGACTCACTGGGGGTGACTATGCATGGTTATCTGTTATTCACAATTTTACAGGATATTCATTTTGTAAGGGCCAAGGAAAGATTTTTTTAAACCTCTGATGTCACAATGGAGGGTATCGACAGTATTTTTAACTAATCCATTACTAAATAAGTAATGTAGACCACAATTTATTGAACTATTCTCTTGCATTTAAAGTTGAAAATTCATTTTATTTCATGTTTTCCTCAATATTTAATATGTGCACGTAAGCCCATTTTGCAGGCCTTTAATTACTTATAAAATGATGCAAAATATTTCATGAAGTTGGAATAACTTTAGCTTTAGACTGCTTGAGAAAATCAAGAGCTTGCTCATTTCAGATCTAACTAAATGCAACATAATTCTTTTGTTTATTTTGCTGGTCAACTTCAATTAAATATTCATTGAGCTTTAAATGAGACCCTAAAACTATGAAATATTTACGTGTCTTGATGAGATCCTGAGCCACAGACTAGATCCCAGTTAATACCCAGAGCAAATTATAAAGCGCTTTCTCCATTAGTGGTTGAAGAAAACAAGTCAACACTTGTTAATCATTTTTCTTAAAAACGAAACACTTTCAACTTATTGCCCGTTTTTCTAGTAGTTCTTAATCCTAGCAGTATGTCTAGGTTGATAAGCTCACGATACAAAGTGAAAATAAAGGCAATTCTTTGGAGAGTCAATTAAAATTAATATCTGTAGCAGATGTTCTTGGTGCAGATCAGTATTACTACCACTTTCTCATCCCACAGCGGCAAGTGCTCTCACGCATGCTCAGACCTATAACCCTTGCTGGAGATTTGCTCTTGGCTTCTGGAATTTGCAGCTCCAGAAACTCCTGGAAAGTGACGCTATCCCCTCTCTTCAAGAGGGGCCAGCCAGTGATTTAGTGACCTAACAAGGGGAGGAAGTCTAGTTTCCTTGCCTCAAGATGGCCAATTTTGCAGTGATTCACACTGCCCAGTCTCGTGTGCATCAGGCCAAATCCTGACCGAAGAAATGTGAATTCCCTTGTTTCATTTCCCTTTCCTTTGCTGCCTCCCTCACTCTTACAAGTTTCTCTCCCAAGTGGGCCCTTAATAAATCGGCAGGGCTTAAATTCATTTCTGCTTGTACTTCTACAGAATCCAACCTAGGAGGATGTTTTAGTTTTTATCCTTAATTTAAAAAGTGACCATCAAAGTGCTCAGCTCAAGTAGACTGTCACATTACCAGTGGAGAAAACCCAACCTGCAGTCACAAAGAGCCAGAATTTGTTACGCTGCATGGTCTCCATGGGAAACATTTCTTGTTTCTCCTTCGTTTTCATCCTTCCCCCACCCCACCCCACCTTTTTTTCCCCTCCTGTGACATGGTGTTTCTATATAGTCCAGGCTGGCCTTGAACTCTGTGTAGCTCAGGTTGGGCCTTTAACTTGCAATTCTTCTGCCTCAGCCTTCCAGTAATTGCGATTACAGGTGTGCACCATCTTGCCTGGCTTCCCCCATTTGTACAGACAATACTAGATTTTTTCGTTTTTGTTTGTTTGAGACAGGGTCTTGCTATGTATTTCAGGCTGGCTTTGAACTTACAGTGTAGCCCATGCTGGCCTCAAACTTGTGATTTTTCTGTTTCAGGCTGCCCCCACTCCCCCATTCTGGGATTACCTGGATCTCTTCAAAGTGTTCATGTCCCAGATTCCTTGTTACCTAGGGCTGGCTGTGCAAGTCATTTCTGGCAATGACATATGCATTAGGATTCATTGGGTGAGGTTTCTGGGATGGTTTGTGTGTCTGTAATGAGAAAGAGTCAGGCTTAACTTGTGAAGTTTTAATGCCTCTCAGTCGCATTTCTTTTCTTGTTTGGAATTAGAATATGTCTTTGGGCCTAGGGGCCCTCTTATGAGGACCACAAAGATTAATGGGAACCAGCTTCATGTTGGCATCAGGCAGCCACCATTTCAGGCTCAGGCTGCCTCTCTCTGAACTTGCTATACAAGAAGCAACCTCAGTTTCATAAGTTCTCAGTCTGAGGTGCATTTGGAAATCTGTGGGTTGGTGGGTTGTCACAGTGACATGGGTATGACAAGGGAG